CCTGTATTGTGAGTGATGAAATGAATACTTTGACTTTAGGTGTTATAATTTTACACAAATAACTCTGAATTTATATGAGCTCTAGAATATTCTCACTATAACTTAGTTAAAATGAAGTGAGTGTAATTGTTTTAACATGGACTTGGGGGTGAGAATAGACTTAGATTGAATCTCAGCAATGCCAGTTATGAGTTATATGACCTTGGAATATTACTTAACCTCTTGAGATCTTAGCCCCTCCCTCTTATCCCCCCACTTGTAAAAATGGGGAAAATAAAGCCTACTTTGTAGGGTTGTTGTTAATATTAAATGAAATAATTAAAAATACTTACTACAGTCTTGACACGTAGTTAACACTCAATAAATGGTATATATAAAACAGCTATGTAAGTAGGTCCTAAAGAAAGTTATAAAATTAGTTCATCACTAGGTTTAAATTTGTACATACCAGAGGACTGAGGAAATTGCACTTGTTACAAAAGAGTCACAGTTGAAATGTTTCAAGAAAACAATGTAAGAGATGTTGTCAAATTTTCCAAACTTTTTATGTTTTTTATAGGTAGAATATGAGCTCTATAAACTAGAAAGCTTGACTTCAGTGCAGAGCAAAATTCTGGAACAGAAAATTAAGCAGATGGTTTGTGATCGTTTAGTAAAGATTGTAGTGGTTGCTAGGAGCTAACATGGGTTTACTAAGACCAAATCTTCCCAAACATCCCATTTCCCTTTTAAATAGTGTTATATGGTGTGTGGAGCTGAGGAATGCCATTTCAGCAAAGCATTTAACTGTCTCATTATAGATAGGATGGTAAAATATGGGCTAGGTGATGGTACTGCTGGGTTTGCAGCTAGACAGCAATTGAAGCCAGTTGATTAATGCATGGTTCTCTTGATGGGGGTCTCTGGTGGAATACCATGGAACTCTGACATATACCCTTCCCATTTAAAATTTTAATTAGGAATTTGGATGAAGACTTATGGGATGGATGTGTACCAAATATGCAGATGGCACAAAGTTGGGAGGGATAATAAATACAATAGATAAGTGAATCAAGATTCAGAATACTGCTGATCATCTAAAGTACAGCATAGAACCCAGAAAGATTGAATTTAATGAAACTAAGAGTGAAGACTAAGCTCAAAAGATCAAGCCTGAGTAAGAAAGGAAATTGTGTTTGTTAGAGTTCAAGTGAAAATTGACCCTAAGCTTAATATTCATTCATTCATTCACTCACTCATTCATGCGTGCAACAAATATGTATCACAATGTCATGCACTTTTCTTGGCATTGGAGAGACAGTAGTGAACAAAACAGTCAAAAATCCCTACCTACATGGAACTTATATTCTTCATGTGCCAACAGTTATTCAGGTGCTTAAAAAAAAAAGAGAGGAACCTAATGTTAGGCTTTACTTACAGAAGTGTAATATCCAGCTCATGGTGATTAATAGTGCTGCTCTATTATTTAATACTCTATACTTGATGCTGTGTTTTACATTGGGATCATTATTTTCAGTTCTGGATACCACAGTATGGACAAATAAGAGTGACAATAGAGTGATGAGAGGAACAGAAACCATGTTGTAGGGGACTGGTCAACGATGAGAAGTCTAAGAAGAGGCGTTACAGCCCCAAGTATTTGCAGGAGATATGAGAAGAGGACTTAAGCTCATTCTCTGTTGCTCCCAGGACTCACTATTAATTACCAGGAGGCTGATTTCTGGTAAATATAAGACAGACTGCCTGAGAAGTGTTCTAGCTGTAGTTTGTGTGAACTCCATAAGGGCCGAGACTGTCTCTCTTGTGTCTTGTCCTCCAATAAATTCATAGTACCTAGGACTGCGCCTGGTACGTGGTGGGCATATCAAATATTTGTTGAGTGAATAATGAAAAGACAGAATTCAGCATGTGGTAAACGTTTGCATAGAATAGATGCTCAGCTCATGTTTGAGCCCTAGTCCTAGAAATGTGTGCATATTCATATGGCATTTTGTGGAAACAACCTATGTACTAAAATAATGTTAAGACTTTTAAGTTCAGTTTTTGTATATTGCAAGAAGTCTGAGGGTGGAATAAAGTACCCGAGAACAGATGTGGGCGGCCAGAATGTTTTCTTTTACCATGTTCTACCAAGTGCAAGTTAATTAAACCACTTTTCTGAAGAGACAGTTAAGAGGCCATTTTAGGATTTATTTGAAATTTCTCAAGTATGCTTATTCAAATATTACCCATCGCAGCTCATCCTTCATCGTTTTTTTGAGGCCTTCCCTGTAATTCCAACCCATACAGGGCCCCCTTTCTCTGACCTTAAAGGCAATTCTACAGAGTTTATAATTTAATTCTTTCTAATTGCTTCACGGGTCTCTCCATCTAGGTGATGAGCTTTTTGAGGGCAAAGCCTTATTTTATATTTTTCTTGTATTCTCCTGACACATAGCAGAAACTCAGTAAATGACAATTGCTTGATTGCTTGATTCATTAATACATTAGTTAAGAGGGATAATTAGTAAAAATTTCTTTCCAGCTACTGTGACAATGCTATTTGGGATTGTTCCCACTGTCTGCGGTACCTCTCTGGATTGCTCCAATGGATTAAATTTAATTTCTAGTTAGTACTCCTGTGAGACATGATGGCAGGTTACATAACCTTTAATTTCTCTCTCCCATGCATCCAAGGAGGGAATTGTAGTCTTAATTTATTAGAGTGTGCCACTTTGGCTAGACAGGTGCTTTGTATTTAGTTGATTCTTTGTATATTTGGTAGTTGACTCTGTATTAAGGACTGAACTCCAGGGCTCAAACAGCCTTCTTGGCTTGACCTCCAAGGGGAGCTAGGACTGCAGATGCCAATCTCTAAATCCGGTTCAGAGGCTGATTGAGTGATTCATGTAACTAGGGTGATCACATTTAGTGTATGAAAGTACAGGGTGTCCAGTTACACTTGAATTTCAGATAAACAGCCAAGCAATTTTGGAGCATAATTATACTAAAAAGTATTCATTGCTTATCTACAATTTGAATGTAACTGTGTGCCCTGCATTTTATGTGGCAGCCCTCCTGTAATCCCATTCCTCTCATAATCCCATAAATCTAGGCTCTTAATGCCCAAATTAACTAGACTGAAAGAAAATATTGTGCCCATGTTATTGATTTCAAAGGCAATTAAAATTTTTTTTTCCAAAAAAAGGAAAATCTACATGGTGTATTCTTTTTGTGGTCATATTCTCTTAGTTATATCCAATAATGATAATGCCACGAGAGTCTAGGATCTTAGTCCCAAATTAAGCTCTCTTGGTTTCCATGGTAGCATAGTTCATTTGCTTCTTATAATATATTGCAGATATTATTTTGCTTAGGTTGTGCAGTAATCACTGCTGACAAATAAATAATTAAGCTCTATGCATTGGAATTGGGTGAAATGTGAATTCGATATAATCTCTCATTTCAGCTCCTACAAAACAACTGCGTTAACTAATAAGAGCTGTAGAAATCAAAGCAAAGCATTGCCGCTCTTAGTTAATTATCTTGTTCTCTTCTTTCAACTCAAAGCGAAGATAATATTCTTGATTGTTCTACCTATAAATTTCTTTTTGTGGGGATGACATCTCATACTTAGGAAGATTGCCTCTTTTTTCCCTAACTAAATAATGTTGTTTTTTGCTGTTTAGTGGCAACAACCTTTAAATGTCATTTATTTACTCAGCAAATACTTATTAAGCAAATCTATGCTCGGCACAGGAGGGAAACAGAATGAATAATATAGTCCCTGCTTTCAAGGGGTTCACAAGAATCTGCATGTTACATGCTTGTTTTTAAATGATTCAGCATCATTTCAGTGAAAGGCTTGTGGTAAGAGCTAATTAACTCATCGAGTAATGAAATGATTCTTCTCTCAAATGCTTTAAATAAGTATCAGGCCTTACATTCCAAGCAGAAATTGCTCTTAATGCATCTAGGGGCTAGAATTAGGCTGTTTTCTTCTTCCTTGGTTCTTTAGTTAGTACTTTGCTAGCCAGATCAGTAACATCAGAATCTCTCAGGGAGCTGGTTAGAAATGTGGACTCTCAGGCCCCATCCCAGACTCACTGAATCAGAACATTCATTGTAACCAGATCCCCAGTCAATTCGTTTGCACATTGAAGGGTTTTTTGTTTGTTTGTTTTTTAAATTGATTATACATATTCACAAGGTAAGATGTGATGATGAGATCAAAACTGTAAGCACTGTTCTAACAGTATTTTCAAGCTCTACTTTGTGCATACAGATCATCTGAGGATCTCATTAAAGTACTGATTCCAGGGCTCCACCCTCAGAGATTCTGTTTCTCTACGACTTCAGTGGAGTCTGAGAATGTTCATTTCTACCAAGCTTCCTAGAGATGCTGGTGCTACCTGTTTGAGAACACACGTGGAGTAGCACTGGCCTAGTTCTCTTGCGAAACTGAATTGACATTTGGCGGCGGTGGGTCAGTGAGGAGTCAGGTTGATTTTCCTTTGCTTACGCAGGATTCAAGAATGGTGGTGAAACTGTTCCCTGAATGATATAGCCTGTTATGGGAGATGGATATGCATACAATGAACTGTTCAGGCCAGTCTGGGATGGCCATTGTGAGATGTGAGAGGAGGGATTTCAGACAGTGAGTTGAATTGAATTCTGCCCAGGGGCTAAGCTATTTGAGTTGGGCCCTGCAAGATAGTAGGATGTTGATGGGTTTGGCCCACTTCTGGGATTTAGACTAGGAAGCATATCCTGCAACAGTAGTTAATCCACTATTGCTAAATTGTAGGGTATTGAGCCTTAGGAATGAAGAGGAGCAGAGATTAGGAGAGAAATATTGAGAAATGGGTCTGGAAAAAGTTTGGGGACAAGATCGTGAAGTCTTAAATATTTTGCTATGGAGTTTGGAATCTGTCTTGTAACTTTTTGCTATGACATCTATTCCTAAAATTTTTCATGTCTAATTGTACTTAATATTGTGTGTGCCTTTTTCTTTCTTTTAGGATTAAGCATGAAAACATTGTTGCCCTTGAAGACATTTATGAAAGCCCGAATCACTTGTACTTGGTCATGCAGCTGTAAGTATCTTGTTTAATTGATCAGTACAGACCAGGGTTGCAAGCTGCAAGCTGGCCTTAAAGGGGCCAGGTGGTAAAATACATGAATGTAGTAGCCGGCTAAGACAATAGGGAGTGGTGAGACCCGTGGGACACTGGAGAAGCCTGTATGCATGTAAAGACAGTAGGCTGTAGACAGGCGTCTGCAGGCCTCACTTGGTCTAGTCTTGCAGCTGCTGGGCTGCACTGCAAATCCTGACAGTGAGATCCAACACTACTATTGCAGGGTGTCTCTGTCGCTTTCCAATGTGCCAGGTCCAAACACTGCTGCCTGAAGACACTTCAGTGGGCCCGCTGTGAAGTACACTTTGCTTCTGTCTCTAGCAGAGACTCCCACTCTTGTCTTCATTTCTAGGGATGCAGGGGAGGGAAGCAGATGGTAGCTGTGTGCTCTGTCCCATCCCTTCTGCACTCCCTCTGGCAGATCAGCGCAGTGTGATTGAAATTGGAATTCATGCCAAACATAGAAAAGTGTCATTGGAATCAGACCATGACATTATCACCCCCGTTAGGTTATCTCTGCATTCCAGTAACACTGGAAATTGCCATAGAGGGAGGAAATGTTCTTGCGGGTAAGCACCTGCAGGGTCCTTGTCTATTGTGTATGCCAAGGAAACGCGAAGAGAATTTGAGCCTCTAACTGAAGGGAGTTTATTGGGCTGTGCAAGCCAGGAGTGATGTGGTCTCATGACCAAAAACCAAGCTCCTGGAGTAAGTAGGGGTTACAGCTTTTAAGGGTATGGCTATAGAAACATACATATTTTTAACAAGGGCTGGGTTATTTCTAGGCATATTTAAGTGGGAATGAGCGCACACATGCAGTGCAGTGTCATGTATGTTACATGCAACCCATGTTCTCATCGGGGTAGAGATTTAAACATTTAAGTGAAGGGAGGTTGGCCTTGTGTCATCAGAAGGGGAAGTTACGGGCAGAGCCAGGACCAGTCCCAGTCCGCAGAATGGATTTGGAGTTTAAGGTTGTGCAGCAGGAGGTTATTGTGAAGTCACTTTCTCATCCCATCAGCATTGTGCAGGGAAAAGGGAAAGCGGAAAGGCTGGTTAGGAAAAGAAAGGAGTGGGGTGGGTCTCAAATGAGAAAGCTGCGTATTCAGGTAAAGACTTTACTTGAACATGTGTTTTTTTTATATTTGTGATGATATTAGCCTCCCTACTCAAATAAATGCTTTATGCTAAGTGATATAATTCCTAGGAGTATCCCAAGACTAAATTTATTAGAATTGAGTGATGGAAACTACTTCAGAATGTTATGCTTTAACCATGACCTGAGTACATAAATTCTGGAACTCCATATTATTTGGCTTAATGACTGAAGAAGATTTTTGTTGAAGATCAGAATATGTACTTAGTTTCATTATTGATTAATGATTTCAGACTTTGAATTACCAAAGGTATGTAGAAGAATTGATGGTTAAGCTAGCAATTTCTTTTCCATGCAGTCTTCTTTTACTTATGAATCTTTAAGCAACACATTAACTTGGGATCATGTTAGGATGCAAATAAGTATTCATCAATGCATTTATTTAATCTTCCATTATATTAAAAACATTAGTAGGTTATGACATTTTTGTATGAATATTTTAAAAGTGTCCAAACTGCAAACCTATGTACGATTTTTCTCTGTCAAATGGCAGCCCTAGGTGGTGACTAACAGTTTAACAGATTTTTATAGTATAGTCAGCCATGAGACTGACCATGAGTAAGTTTAAGCAGTTTAACTGACTCCTTGGTTCCATATTAACTCTCCAGTTACCTAAGTTCAATCTTTTCTGTTTCTTGCTCTTCTGTTTGTTTTACAATTTGATACATTTCTGGTTTTTCCTAGAGAGCAGTAGTTCTCCCTGTATTTGGGGACATTTCCCTGGGAGCTTATGTGACTTTGTTTTATATAAAGTCTCCTCTTTAAAGATGCAGGTGAATTATTTTCCCTTCAAAAATTGATTGCCTAATAGGAAGAATATGACATTTTGGTGACAAGCAAAAGCCCCACAAAATGTTAGCCGTGTATTTAAATGTGTGCATTTTTTATTGGTAATGCGAAAAGTACTAATACATGAATCCAAAGCTATATGTATTTACTTGCTTAAGTTTTGTGTTCATGGGTCTGTAACTAAACATCAGTTAAAAGTGCCCAAAATATCTCAGCCCTGCATCTTACTAGCTGCGTGACTTTGGGCAAATAACTGGGCCTCTCTGATTATCAGTTTCCATAATGGAAAAAAGTAGAGGTAATAATAAAATTTACATTAGAGGACTGTAGTGAGTAGTGAATGGAAAGAAAATGGCTGGGAAATGGTCTGTCACAAATAGTCAGTCTTCATTACATACTGGTTTCTTAATGAACATCTACATGATTTTATCAGTATGTCTCTCTAGGTGGTCTTTAATTTTATGAGATCAAATTCAAGTATATTTGAATTTTGTCTTTCTAAGCAACTTGGTTGCATATAGTTGTTCCTTACTATCAGCAGGGGATTGGTTCCAGGACTCTCTGTGGATACCAAACTCCAGGAATGGTCAAGTCCCTGATATAAAATGGTGTAGTATTTGCGTGAAACCTAGACACATCTTCTGGTACACTTAAAATAATCTCTAGATTACTTATAATACTGAATAGAATGTAAATGCTATGTAAATAGGATTTCCTCCTCCTTTTGCAGTTATATAAAACTTCATTGATATGGACCACACTCATTGAGAACTTGTTGAAATTCAGAGAGGAATTAGGCTGGAATTATACATTTTAAAACATATTATCTTTTATTATTGTACTATTATTTTTTGTTGGGTTTTTTTTTTTCCTTCAAATATTTTCAATCCTGGGTTGGTTGAATCCACAGATGTGGAACCTGCAGATACAAATGGCCAACGGTACTTACCAGCAGAAGTTTATGTAAAGACAGGCTGGCATGACAGCATAAAAGTCTGGAAAAGAACCAAACTTCGAACAAAGGTTGGAAGTCATATGGGCAGCATCGCCATTCCCATCCCCTCCCTGAGCTTTTCTGCCAAGGATTTCCTCCTCCTTTTGCAGTTATATAAAACCTCATTGATATGGACCACACTCATTGAGAACTTGTTGAAATTCAGAGAGGAATTAGGCTGGAATTACCCTTCGGGAGCACTGTATGAGGTTTGTCAGGCAAATTAATCACAAAATCCAGATCTAGAGGTGATGCATGTTGACACTACCTGAGGAAAAAACTATGTAGGTGAACTATTAAGCAGTTTAGAAGCACTATTTACCCAAACGTTGGATATGCTAATTCAAAATGTTAACTTGTATAGATTCTTTTTTCATTGGTTTTCATTACTTTTAAAAATCAACTTTATTGAGGTATAATTTACATACAATTTATGCATCCATTTAAACTGGACCATTGAGTGATGAATGAGAGAGAATCATGCTCATGAAATCCCCACCACAATCAAGATATAGGAAATTTCTCTCACCCTCAGAAGATTCTTTGTGCCCCATTGAAGTCCTTTCTCCCTCATCTATAACCCCAGTCTACCAGTGATCTGCTTTCACTCACTAGAGATTATGTTTCATTTTCTAAAATAGGATATAAATGGACTCATATAGCATGTACCCTTTTGTGTCTGGGTTTTTTCGCACACAGTTATTTTAACATCCATTCACGTCATGATATGTCTCAGTAATTTGTTCCTTTTTATTGCTGAGTAGTATTCCATTGTTATAGATATTCCACATTTTATCTTCTTACCTATTGACAGACTGATGGAGTTTGGATGTGATGTCCCTTCCAAAACTCATGTGGAAATTTGATCTCCAATGTGGCAGTGTTGGAAACTGATGGAGTCATGGGGGTGGGTCTCTCATGAATGGATTAATGCTCTCCATGGGGGGGAGGGTAGTAAGTGAGTTATCACTCTATTAGTTCCTGCGAGAGCTGATTGTTTAAAGGACCCTGGCACCTTCTCTCTCTCTCTTGCTTCCCCTCGCCATGTATTCTGCTTGTGCCCACTGGCTGCTGCCACTTTCTGTCATGAGTAGAAGCAGCCTGAGGCCCATGCCAGATGCAGCTATCCCAGAATCGTAAGCCAAATAAACTACTTTTCTTTATAAATTACCCAGTCTCAGGTATTCTGTAAAAGGAACACAAAACGGACTAATACACAGACATTTGGGTTGTTTCCAGTTTGGGGGCTATTATGAACGAATCTGTTATGAACATTCACGTACAAGCCCCTGTATGGATGTATGTTTAGGTAAAGGTGTCAGTGTAGGGTGAATGGGCCATATGGTAGGTGCTATGTTTAACTTTTTAAGAAATTGCCAGGCAGTTTTTCAAAGTTGTTGTATCATTTTATATTTTTTTACCAGCAGCGTATGTAAATTCTGTTGCTCTATATTCTTGCTAACTCTTGAGGTTTTCATTTTAGCCATTCTAATGGTGTGTAGTGGTATCTCAGAATGGTTTTAATTTGCGTTTCCCTGATGATTAATGATGTTGATCATCTTTTTATGCCCTGGTTGGCCATTTGTATGTCTTCTTTTATAAAGTGTTTGTTTAAATTGTTTGCTCAATCTTTATAGGATTATCATAATATTATTGGGTTAAGTGCTCTTTATATATTCTATCCTTTGTCAGCTATATGTAATATAAATATTTTCTCCCATTTTGTAACTTACATTGTTGTTTTTTTAATGGTGCCTTTTAAAAAACACATTTGTTGGGGCCGGCCCGGTGGCGCACTGCTACAGTGCGCCGCTTGGGAAGCGCAGCAGTGCTCCCGCCGAGGGTTCGGATCCCACATACAGACC